TCAGTTTAAAAAGATTTCCTTTACCATGTACTCTTTTTGTACACGTTAAAATGGTTTTTTAAAAACTCAATTGTTGTTTAAACTTGAGCCTTTGTTTGTAAGATTTTGAAGATAGTGTTACTGATCTCAAGTGTTTTTTTCCATTTGCTAGTACTTATAATTTAGAGGGACAACCCTTTATAGGCCGATTTTGTCACTTTTATGCATATGAACGTTGTTCTTTTGTGCATGGTTTTTATTACTTTTAGCCAGGAATATAGGGCTGTATAAAATAAATTCAACCAAATGTTATGACCAAATGTTTGTGTAGTTATTTACTAAAAATATTACATTTCTAATAATAATCCTACATGGAGTATCTGATTTTGACACTGGAATAATATAGAAAGTCAGAGGAAGAAAGGAAGATATTCTGGGCGTGAATGACAATGTAGGTTATTATGTTTTTTCCTTGGAAAATTGGCAGATATTTGACATTTTCTATTTAGATGATATAAAATCCGAGCATGTAATTGGTGCCATGTTTCATATATATCAATAAAGCATTTAGAAAGCTTAATATTCTTCCAGTTTTTGAGTGTTGCTTGTATAGAACTAATGTTTTATATTTCATGGAGTTAGTGTTGATCTTTGTGTGGTAGTTTGAAATCCGAACTTTTGAAATACCTGTTATTTTCAAATGGTTGGTGGCCAAGCCAGGAGGATTGCAAGTTCCAGCCCAGCTTAGTGACTTAGCTGAATTGTTTATTGACAGCAGTTTTTGCAGGTGTTATGATCATATTACTCCCTTTTTTGGAGACAGGGTCTCAGTATGTAGTTTAGGGTGACCTTGAACTTGTGGTGATCATCGAACAGCCTCCCAGGTGCTGGGATTACATATGGGCATGTGCTACTGTACCCAGCTTCTAAAAAAAAGTTTAAAGGACTAAATGCACAGCTCTATGTGAAGGCCCTTGGTTCAGTCCCCAGTACTACAGAAAAACAAAATAAAAACAAAAAAATAAAAGAAAAATGCTGCCAGGACTGAGGCTAGAGAGTGATACATTTCGTGCTGCGGTGCTGGGAGACCTGCTTCCTAGAGAGCCCTGGCTCCCTGTGTGCTACCTCATTTCTTTACTTGCATATTTCTGTGTTCTTACATTAGGTTGTGGTTGTGAATTGCTTCATAAAGTAGGTCTTCTCTCCATTAAATAATTAGAAATATTTGTAACATGATTTGAAGAAAATAGTTGTTTGAACCAGAAGCAAAAAAAGAAAGAGCAGGTGGCTCAAGGTTACTCAGAGGAAAAGTCAACATGAAGAGTTCCTTGCTTGCTTTCTGTGTCTTTAGAAAGTTATTTATACAAATTGAACCATATTCTTCATTCCGTTCTAGATTCTTCCCCCATGATATTTCTGTCTTGCCACATTGCTGAAACAGTCAGTGCCGCTCTACTCTTTTTAATAGCTGCATAATATTCCACTGTGAGCTTATATGCCATGTTCTGATTCAGAAGCAGCCAGCAAGTTTCACAATAAAAGTGTCTTCATGTTTTGGGTTTCATAGTCTCATAAGTCAGTGAACAACAACAGCTTAGAGTTAAAAAAAACCACTATCAATAAACTAGGAACTCGGGTTCATAAAAATATACATGCTTATTCAAGGTTTAAGGATGTTAAATAAGAGCATTATTCTAAGGAAACAAGAATTGGATTTCCATGCCAAAAAAAAAAAAAAAAAAAAGATAAAAGTACCCTTTGAGACTTTGAAGTGTTCGAATTCTTTAAAAACCCTTTCACAGGTCATTCTTTGAACCTGCCAGCATCATCAGAGCGAACGAACAGGCCGAAGCACTTAGGAACTGGTAGTTTCTTTTTCAGGAATGAGGATTTTCTTGAGAAACACAGCATGCATGTTGCAGAGGCTCCTCCTTTGACCCCATTGTAGTTCTGGCCGATTCCAGGGTGGAGGAGGCAGACTTGAGAATCCCAGGCATCTCTTGTAAAACCCTTGGAAAGTTTTGGTTTGGGTGTTTACAGTGCTTTGTTTGTGGGTAATGACAGGCAGTGTTCCGTGTATGCAGTTCAGATAATGTTCTGTGTGAGAGGCAGACTTGGGGTAAAGCCTCTTGGCAAAGCTAAGGAAATAATAGCACAGAAAAATCTGATACTGGCAGTCTGGAACCAGCAGGCTGATGTATGCCAGTAAATTATTTCAGATACTATTTGCTCTGTTGGTATCTTTTTAATCCTTTTTAGTGCCAGTGTGGCTTGAATATGCAGTTGTCTTTTTAAATGTAGCTACGAGAAGGGTTTTCCAAGCGTACCATATGGTTTTTTTCTATAATGAAATGAAGTGTGTGACTATTTGCTGTTGCTTAAATTTTCTTTCAAAAATTTAACTATGGCTATGGTTCCTAAAGATGTTAATAATCAAAATTAACAGATTGCCCTGGAAATAGCTATGCTTTTGGTTGACTTATTTTGCAGAAAATTAGTTTCACTCTTTGTTATTTGGTGACCTTCATTTGCTAACGAACCCAATTTTGTACCCCTAAAGTGAGCGTTGTGGAGTTAAAGTTGTCGGTTTTGACAGTTCTTTGAAATGTGCTTGTTATAGCAGCATGTTAGGAGCAGTTTTCTTTGAAACGTTTTGTTTTCAGTACCATTTTCAGCCAGTTTTTCTTTTACCAAGTTTCCAATGTGCTCCGGAGGCACTGATTTTACTACCGCATCCTAGTCTCCAGTGACTCCTGGGCAGCTGCTTGTCTGTGTACACAGGGTTGTCTATTTTTGTTGCTTAGAAATGGTCATCATTAAAAAGTGGCAGAAACGGAAGATCAGTTTTTGACATTGCTATGAGGCCGTGGCTGCACTTAGATCCGTGTTTCCTGTTTCTTTTGTGGGTGGGAGGAGGAAGAACTCTTCTTCTGGGAATCTTATCGTTAACATCTTAGATTTTGCCTCCTTGTCAAAACTCATGTACAATTTATTCAGTACAAAGGTTTTTTCTTTTTTTTTTTAAACTTATTTGTTCGATTTGGTTCAGAGCTGTGTGTGAGAGCTAACTGGTTTCTGAGTTCGGTCCTGTGACCCAGGTCCTTGTCATCTTAATGGGAGCGCACCCTGAGACGGGCCCTCTCCCATACCTGTGGCCAGGGAGGTGGTCGTGAGCTTTCTGGGAAGAGTGCAAGGAATTAATTAGGTTAGGGGAACCGTAGAAAGATGAGAGACATTTTCTATCTTTTTTAATCCAAGAGCAAAGGAAATCTCTGCCCGTCCCCATACAAAAGGTCTCGGCGCGTGACATTGGAAGCTCTGCGGCCTGGGCCCTGCCGTGTTGGATTTCAGCCAGCACGTCTTCAGCATGCGGGAGACTGAGCTTTTTCCTCCCTCCCTCATTTCTTCTGTTTTTGTTCTGTGTAAACAGTTCCTGCCGTAGTAACATAGACAAATATAGCAGAGAATGCTTTTCTGGAAGATGAATGCTCCCTAAGCATTTTTTAACCATTTTTGGGAAGAATTGATCTTTCCGTGTGTTTCAGACAGACTGGAAGAGGGCGAGGCCATGGCTATAAATTGCAGTGACATCATATGTATTGCCCCCATTGATCTGCTTTTAGTCTCCAGCCAGGATAAAAGGAAATGGCATCAGGGAGGAAGCATGCTTCATTTAGGCACAGATCCCAGAGTGATAATGGGGTAATAATAGAACTCATGCCACTGTCAATCGGTGGCTACATTAGTCCAGGCTCATTCCGTCCCGGGCGCTCAGCGGCTTCCTGCAGCGCAGCAGCTGGGCCACCAAGGGGTGCCCTCCTCGGCCGTGGCAGGGCGCTCGGTGGCGAAGGGTGTCTGTCGCGGCCCGAGTGCCCAGAGGTGAGCTGGCCTTTCTGCCTCTCGTTGGTGGTGGAGCCCGGGAGGCCTGTGTCGTGTGGGTGGTCTCCAGGGCGCGCAGAGTGAGCGATGCCCCTGTCACAGCACAGGCTTCTGGAAGGGTCGGGGTTTGTTTTCTTAGTGCTGCCTGCCGGTAGGTTAGCAGGGTCGGTTTGGAAAATTCGTATTTTCTTTCCAAGAGTCTGTGTAGAAACTTCTTTAAAACCGTGGAGGAGGTACTCAGCTTGCCGCAGTTCTGCTGACTGCAGAAAGTAGAAGTCGCCTTGTCCCTTTGTGCTCCTCTCATTAACTGTTCGGAATACAGACTTCTGAAGCCCTTAAACATTTGTACTGGACCAGCCTGCTTTGGCATTTTGTTTCTTGTATTTGTGTGAGTTTTACACCCCTGGCGGTTCTCTTTCAAGTACCCACATGACTTTGCCACCCTGTAATCTTATTTTGTCTAAGGCTCTGAGGCAGAATCATTTTAAAAATACTGAGTTGATCTCCATACGGAAATCATAACAAATGGATTCCTCGTCTGTAGGACTTTTTATCTCTGTGACCGTGATGTGGGAACAAGCGCCGTCAGGCCCCCAGAAGCACAGGCTGGTTCTCGCTGCGTGTTCCGAGGCACTGCTCACCTGGGAGATGAGCCGCAGTGCGCTTAGGCCACGTCTGCCTCCCGAAGCCCTGCTGTGTGGAAACCCAGTTGGCCAGGGGTCATGTGAAATCTGATTTCTCCGTGGGTGGGAGCAGAATGAGCCACATAACGTTATTTCTTTCCCAGTGCCAGCTGCCAGGACGAGTCTCGCTGCTGGGTACAGCATGTTTGCTAGTATTAGAAGTCTTTCCATAGCTTTGCACACGTTCTGGTGTACTGCATACCATTTCTTGTTCATTGTAGGGTAGCTTTACATGGAGTAGATGTTTATTTTATGAAGGGAAATCTGTGTTAGAGTGTAGCTGCTTAACCACATTTTTGCACTGAAGCAAATATTAAAATCCTCTTTTCAATGTCTGTGATTTCAGTTTTTCTGTGATATAATGTTTACTTGTGAACAAATGATACAGTGTTGGTTTTATTGTCTGTGGCTTCAGACAGCATTAGACCACTGACCATGTCTACTTTCTGCATTGTTTAGAAATATCCTCCCCCGCAAGTGGAGAGCCAGGTAGCGGAAGGTGTTGACCAAGGAGGAGTGTCTCTGTCTCTGTCTCTGTCTCTGTAAGTTCGCCAGCCTGGCCCAAATCTGGCATCATGGGGCATGTTCTGGTCTGGTTGTGTGTGCTGGGTGTGTCCTACCCATCTTCAAGCCCTCCAGCCTGGGCCAGGCCACAGAAGGTGCTGATACCCGGAGCAGGCGTGCCCTTGTGCTCTGCCTCCTGCCAGTGAGAGCCAGCGATTTGATGACGTGTGTCCTCCCTTCTGGCCCCTCAGCTGTCTGTCATAAGCCCTGGGGCTTAGCTTTAAATATTTCCATTGTGTATAATTTGGAGAGAACAAAAGCTTTCATCGGTGCCTTGAGCTGTGTTTGTGTGTGCAGATGTGAGCTTCTTGGGGAGAAACTTCAAGGTATGCGGGAGGAGCCTGGACTTGGCGGGGTCACATGTTGGTCGGCTTGTTTTAGACTAGAGTCTTGTTTATGGGTTGATCCAGTTTGGGGTATGTTGAGGACCATGCTAGTTGGTTTTCAAGGCTTCCTTTCCTGTGGGTCTCTTCAGTCTAAACCAAGTCCTAAACTGAGTTCTAACAATAGGACTCTATGTAAGCACACACACACGTCGGGAAGACACTTTTCTTTCCACTCTCGCCTTCCCTGTAATTCTGTAGAGTGGCAGGACTTGGTTCCTGCTGCAGTTAGCACATACAGCCGCCACCCCTCTGCCCAGGCCTGGCCCATCCCAGAAGCCTGCCTTCTCGGGGCGGCACACTGGTGCCCTCTTGCTGGTGGCTGCACCAGTGCTGCTCAGAAGGTTGATGGTGCCTGTGGGGGTCAGGGCAGGCAGGGCCACTTGGGTCCAGTTTGGAACCTGTTGTCCTCAGAGTGGTCTGTCCTCTACCCCTCACCTGAGCCCCCAGAGTGGGAGGAGGAGAGGGAGAGGTAGCCATTCTGCTAAGCATGGGAGCTAGAGGAGGGGCAGGGTGGGTTAAATTTTGTTTTTTGTTTTTTTTTTTTTTTTTTTTTGGTCTTTTTCCTTTTTACTGGTACCGGGGATCGAACTCACGACCGCCTGCTTGCAAGGCAGGTGCTTATGCCGCTGAGCTAAATCCCCAGCCCCTAGGGTGGGTTAAATTTTGGGATCTGGCCTGAGGAGAACAGTTGGAGGTGCACTGTGGGCGGTGGTCTGCAGGCTTGGCTTTCAGCAGAGAAAGGCCTCTGGAAACTCTATGGTGGAGCACTGTAGGCCTTGATGGGGACAGGGAGGCGCCACGGCCAAGGCAGTAGTGCCAGACAGGCCTGGGGTTGCCGGGGCTGGAGCCAGGATGCAAGGGGCCTGCAGGAGACGCAGAGTGCATCATCTCAGCTGGGCTGCGCCCCTCATGTCCTGCTCAGGGATACCCAGGGGAAACCCTGAGGTTCGGCAGAGCCTGGGGTCTGGGTTTACCTCTTTCTTAAACATATTTTACATTTATTTTTCCTATTTATTTGACGTTGACAATCAAATAGCCTTTTCTATAAAACAGCAGACCTGCTACCATGTAAGTAGCCTTGTGTTTAAATGATGGAAAGTGGTAGGATGGTGCTGGTGTTGCTAGTAGTTACACAGTAACTTGGTATCTCAGAAGCGTCTCACAGCCCCGTGGTTTCTCAAGAAAGGGAATTGGTGGTCACTCTCGAGTGTGTAGAGGACTTTGTGTCAGTGATCACTGTACTGTAATTGTGCTCAAGACACTTGCTGCTCCTGCCAGCCCTTGAGCCTGTCCACAGCATGACTTGTCAGGTGGACCCGGGAGATCTACACCCCCAAGAACCAGCCCATGTGTGTCTGTGCCTGCCGCCCGCCTGTCTGTGGGGAGGTAGCTGAGAACATCCGAGGAATGCTTTCTTTGGGAAATTGGGTGGTGAGTGTGGTGCCCACAGCTTCTCTGAATTCTCACTTTGGAAGAGCTTGTGTGTGTGTGTGTGTGTGTGTGTGTGTGCACGCGCGTGTCTGTGTGTGAGAATGAGTGGGAAGGCCACTCATTGTGCACACTCAGGGACAGAAAGATAGGGATGGACAGAGAGAAGCCAATAAGAAGTGACAGCTGAGTTTGTTAACAAGGGTTATCTGGGAATCAGCAGGGTTGAAGGGAAGATAGGTGAAGCTTAAAGCTTTGATTTTAGAGTGAGCCACTCTGCTGTCCTTCGAGGTGCATCTTGAACCATGTTTCTCCTGCACTGTGCTGGGCTAGCCCCTCGGTGCCCCTGGGCAGTGCTGCAGCCTACGCTGGGTGCAGCTGTGAACGGGCACAGGAAATCGGGTCAGTTCCTGGGGTTGCAAATACTACCTGCTCATGGATTTGTTACGTTTTTCTACAACCTTAGGACTTCTTCCCCTCTCTGCCCTGAACTCGTAGTACCATTTGTGAACCAGCCTTTGTGAGACACAGGAGTCTGGGTGACCATGTGTGTGCGTTGTTCCATGTATGATCACGTATGTGTCATTTTCAAAATTCTTAGGGTATTATGAACGTAAATTACAAGCCTGACATTTTTATAATGAAGACATTGTGAGGCACACACAGTAATTATTTCATTGCTTGCTCTTTGTTTCTCTGTTCAGAAAGGAAATTGGAAACTGCTTTTTTCTGCTGAATTTCCCTTGTGTTTGATACAGTTGAGGGGCTTTTCGAATCTTTGGTCAAATAACATTTTTTAGCATATGCGTGCCATAAAGGCAAGGATCTAATAAATCACAATAATGTTTCATGAGATAAGAACCATTTTGATTGCCTTAAGGGAGACCTGAAAAGAAAAGCCAAGGAAATGGGGCCCAGAATGCAGTGACTTTGAGGAGACAGTGTGAGCCCAAGGTCTCCTGCAGTCCGCCGTGTTTCAGGCACAGCCCGCAGTGCCCAGGTTATCCTCGCTTTGCCGTCTTACTTCTAAACATTTGGGTCTAATTTCTTGTCAGCTGAACAGCATTTTCACTGGCTGTTTTGTTTTACCAACAGCTGCTTCCAGACCAGCTGGTCTTGCTTTTGGAACGTCTCTTGGAGGAGAAGACCCTGACTCATCCAACCCTGCAGGCCCTCCAGAGGACGTACCATCTCCATGAGCAGGACGCAGAGGTAACCAGAGCCTGACCAGGCGTGGGTCCCCGCCCGCCTGTAGCCCCATGCTGCTGAAACTGTCACCCTTGCGTTAGCGTGTGTTGGTGAGCCAAGAACTGGGTGCCAGGCTGCGCCCGTTACGGCTCAGCATGCGTACACTCATCAACGATACTCTGAGGTCCAAGTTTGTCCCTCTTCTTAAATCATAAGGATGGACGGAGCGTCCTGAAGAGAGCAGGCAGGGTGGGGCGTTTGAGGTCACAAGCCTGGGTAGGTCGTCTGCACACTGGTGGTGGCGCCATCCTGCTGCTTGGCCCAGCTGTGTCAGTGTCTCGGTTGCATTCAGTTGGGACGGAGAGGAACCATGTGTAAAGGAAATGAGAGCTGAATCGAGCGGCCGTGGTTTAAAGAGGAAAATTGAATGCTTGTGGGAAAGCAATATGATGTGGTTCTTAATATCTTTTAGCTTATTGGGAAAAATGCAATATGAATCCTAAGATGATTTCCAGGTTTTAAAAACATAGAATACTAAATGTGTAATGTATTCAGTCATCTTAAAATAAAACATAGGAGCAAGAGATCAAAGAAAAAGCTCTCATTTAAAACTAAAATGTAGAAAATGCAAGTAAGTTTGGTTTATAGTCAACTGAAAATAACCGAACATTTAAAATCTGTACAGTATAGTATGACAGCTGTAGTGAGCACTTGAAATCAGGTATTAAAAAATCAAAATATTTCAATGCAGTAATTTCTGCCTGTTCATTACAACATATTTTTTGAAACTGTTTTGTACATGTGTTAGGTTCAGTGCAATAATACAATGAATTTCACAATAACTGGAATGGAGTAATTTGAGAATAGCCAGATCCTTATGAACCATAAGGTAAGATGGATGTTGTTTAGCAGTTTAAAGCTCCACAAATTGAGGAGCAATTGGAAAACTCCAGAGAAGACACACAGTTTTTACTTACCTGAGCGCAGATCAATGTGCAACTGTTGCTAGTTATGTCAGCTTAGATTTTTGTTTATAGGTGTTTCCAAATGCCAGACTCACTACTTTTAATGAGGGGTTCAAAGTCCCACCTATTTATAGGCCTTGGGCTGTTTTAGTGGCGGTGGAATGCCAGGCCTCTGCCTCGGGGACCAGCACAGGAGGCTCGGAGCGGGCCCCGGACACCTGTCCTGCGGTGCCCAGAGCCCTGAGGCGCGAGGCCTGTTTTCCTTCTTCCTATTGGGGTGAAATGTGTCCTGTTCTTCTCTTACAGCATGACTTAGTTGTTATGTGTAACCTCTTAAGCTGCTGAGAAGGACAGCAGGTTGTAATAAGTTGCTTGTTTTATATTTCACAGTCTGTTGTGTTGTCCCAAGGCAGGACAACCCTTTCCGCTAGATCCCTGGGTGACCACAGGCAGTCCAAGTGCCACGTGGCTTGCTCACGTGACCTGCATGCCCTTGCTGTGCAGTGTGAGTCATGCATGTTCTCTGGGTGCTGGGCCTCGCCCTTCCAATGCACAGGACACCTTCAGCCAAGAGCTGGGAAGGGAATGTGCCGGGCAGCTGGGCTCAGTTTCTGTAGAGTACTCAGGAAAGGCCACTCACAGACAGTGACATTGAGCCAGGACCTGAAGACCTGAGGGAGGTGGCCACACAGCTAGGGCTCTGGGTAGTTTCCATGGAGAGACAGCCATACATGCAGTTGCATGAACTCGGCGTGGGCTAGGATGTGTGGTCAGCAAACTTCTCCTGTAAGGGAGCAAACAGTTCCTCTTTTAGGTAGGATGGTTTCTTCTGAAGTTGTTCAGCTTTGCTGTTGTGGCTCCGAAATTGCTGTAGACCGTTTGTAAACACATACGGTTGTGAACCAGTAAAACCTTCAGGGACCCAGACTTGAATTTCCTGGAACCAGCGCATCATCTTTTTCCCGTTACTTTTTGAAAATACTTGAAGATGGTACACTGTTCCTAGCAGCGGGAGGATTTGCTCGGCCATCCTCTCTGCTGAGCCTCCAGGCCACTTGCAGTGATTTGGTTTGTTACACTGACAGCTTTTCTTACTGTGAGGAGTGTCACTCAGAACCAGAAAAAGAACAGGGTTTTGGATAACCAGGGGGTTTTCCAGAGGCTGTATTGATTCAGTGTGATCAACAGAAATTGAGCTGTCAGCTCCCTTTCTTCTTCATGGTCTCTAAAGTTGACTCAGTGATGCACCCAGTTCTACCTCGTAACTGTAACAAAGTTCCTACCAGAATCAAGATGTGTGAGGACAGGTTTCCGGTTTGGAGACAGCCCGGAGAAACGTGGGCATCTAATGTGCTTCAGAGTCCTAAGGCTTCAGAAGAATACAGAGATTTGTGGCTTCTCGGTGCAGCTTAGAGGCTGACAACAGGGTAAGTCTGTGATGCAGACGGCACCTTCCTAAGGCCAGTGACAGCTGGGCACCAGGTTCTCCTGGGCAGCGCGCACAGCCTGGGCAGAAGCTCGGAAAGAGGAGGGACAGGAGGAGGCTGCTGCTGTGCTGCCCAGGGACACCTGGATAGGCCCCGTGTCCCCGGTGCCTCCAGAGTCCCTGCCAGCGGTAGACGTAGGCACTTCCCCTGCCCCGGCTGGTAACGGGCCAGCACAGTAATTTCTTCTCAGTAGTCCAGTTTGGAATTCACAGGCCATTTCTGGTTAAGCAAATGGTGGTTATAAATGGTCATCTTCTGTACTATTGGAATATACTTACTTCCTTATAAGTTAAAGAAGTTGGTGTGTTTGGGCATAAAAAGCTAAGCATTACTTAGGACTTTTTAAAAAAATGGGACACCACCAGTGCCCTGAATTCCAAATGACATTCTCATAACTGCCTTTATTTTAAGTGACAGACGTTTCATGAGAGAAGCACTTGTGGGAAAGGTCTTGGGGACTCTAACTCGGTTCTTGGTACTCTCCCGTGACTCAGCAAGTTAAATTGTTATCAGGACCCTTAAATGGGGACTTGAGAGCAGTCACTTAGAAAGCGGCTGGAGGCACAGGGGTGTGGGCTGTGTGCCTAGTGTCCCAGTGGATGACGGCATCAGAGCGCTTTGCCACAGGCCGCTGGCCCCATGGGGTTGAAGGAGCTGCCTGCTGCAGAAAGCACTCAACCCCTGGATGGCCAGGCTCCAGGGTGTGGAGAAGGGGTGCTTGGGCCCTGGGACCGGGTGCTTTCCTGCCTCCTGTGTCTGGGCCTGCGCTCAGAGGGAAACCTGCCCTGGCACCACAGGTGGCTCCAGGCTCATTGCTGGGGCTGCTCTGGCTCCTGCGCTGTCCTTGCTCAGCACTTAATGAGGCCTTAGAACTCTGAAGCACATTATGGCGGAGTCAGCTGCCTCTTACCTGTCAGGTCACAGAGCTGCCAGCCTTGTACCAGACTCCCTCAACCAGCCTCTGCCTCTCTCCTCCCTCCTATGTTGTGGGTCCCCGTGGTCCCTCTGAAGAGCTCGTTTTGAACTGTCCTGTGTGTCCTGGTGGTTGTATCGCTTCTGTGCCAAGGTCCTGTTCTCAGGCCACTGTCTCTGCTGGGGAGAGATACTGAGCACAGCTGAGGGCTTTCAAAGATGGGCCTTTTGGTTCCTGTCCAGGTCACCACCCTTCTGTTCCTGCAGCCTGTGTGGTGCGAGCATGCAGATCAGTGGGGGCGCAGTGAGCACCTCTGTGCCTGGAGGTGTATGGGAGCGTGCACAAGGAGCAAGGTGCTGGGAGGCAGGAGGTGACACAGTGGGTGACACAGTGCCATAGGCCGCCTCATGCCTTGGCTGGCCACTCTAATCAGCTCCCTCTGCTGGATGGGGCATGGCCAGGGCACCTTTGCATTTCTCTGCCTGAAGGGTAAAGTGCCAGTTGGAGTCCGCTACCTCTTACTTGTCAGGTCACAGAGCTGCCAGCCTTGTACCTGGCTCCCTCAACCAGGTAGGAGAATGAACTGAAGGAAAATTCAGTCCATAGAAGCACTTTGCAGTCCCTGAGTGTAGCTCAAAGAAAGAGCCTTAACATTTAAAAATATATGTGACCACTGATTGGGGAACCAAAAGTGGTTTTGAAGATCCCTTTGGAATAGTGAATCCCTGTCTGCTTTGGCAGATCGCGTCAGCTGGATCGCAGCTGCCACCGTAGTGAGGTGAGGATCCCGGAACTGGCTCTGTGATGTCCTCTGCCCACGAACCTCACAGCGGACCTTCATACAGCTTTCCTGCTGCGGACCATAATGGAGCATGGCAGACCAGGGCTCGCCTCTGGCAGCAGCCTCTCCCAGCCTCCTCCTTTCTGAAGTTAGAAAGCCATGACTCGCGTCTCACCTGGCTTCGGTGGCTGAGGCCTGCTCTGATGTTTCAGTGGCTGTGCTTTTGCCAGAAAATTAATTTGTGCGAAAGGTCATCAGCACTCTCATCTGTCTCCTCACAGAGGTGGGAGAAATCCTGTTGGTTGTAAAGCAGGGCCCTTCTGGATTAGATGGAGCAAAAAAGTGTGGGTGCCACTTGCGCAGTGTGGGTGTGGTCACCGGGCTGGCCACCTGTGGAGGGAAGGGAGGGCCCCTACTCACTCGGGGTATGTGGACTTCATTTTTCGATAACTCTTGAACCTGCAGGCCCAGGATCTGCTGCTGGCTGAGGCCGAGACTCAGCAGTGAGCTGTGTTGAAGTCCAGGGCCCCAGCCCAGTGGGGGCCCCAGCCAGGTCATCCTCTCTCCATGGCTTCATTGTATTCATCAACAGGGCAGTGCTGTGACCATAGCAGTAGCTTTTGGGGGTTTGTTTTATATCACAGCCAACTGGGAAAACATCATGAAACTGTCTTTACTCCATTTTCTGTTTTGTCTTTCTTCATTTTCTATTAAAAATGTATGTCATATATTAAGTTAATTTTATGATCTGCTAATGGTTCATAGCCTGCAGTTTGAAAAATGCTAGGTAGAGTGGTTTTGGGTTTTCACCAACTCTGGGGAATTTGGGGTTAGGGATGCTGAGTCTTCATTTCCTCAAAATGAAATGAAGCCTTGACTATTTTCATAGGAGTGTGAATGGCTTAAGACAAGAGAACTCAGTGACTACTAAGCAGATGCGGGGCTCAGTTTCTAGAGGTGAATTCTGGCACTCTCATTACTTAGAGGCCACACAGCTGTCCTGTTGGGTTCTTCATGATTCATTACCAAGCCACCTGGCCCCTGGTTCAGTGGGATCTGGTTTTACTGGGGTAGGGGCAGGCCTGCTGTAAATGAGGCATTTCCAGCCCAAGCACCTCTGATGTTGTGCTTGGACCGGATGGTGGGTACTTTCTTTTTAGCAGGAGACTGTGCTTGGCATTGTGGGATGTTAGCATCCCTGGCTTCTGTCCATGAGGTGCCAGTAGCCACTCCTTTCTTTTCCCCCAATGTGGCCCTCACGCCGCCTGTCCCCAAGTGCGGCCCAGTGTCCCCAGCAGAAGTACTCTGGTTAGGAACCAGTGCTTTAAGACAGGGGCTGGCTCAAGGGATAGTTTTCAAAACCTTGTTTTAAATGATTAGTGAAAGTTGGCTGCAGTACAGAGTGGGGTGATGGGAAAGATGGCTGACAATGTTTAGAGGTGGCCCCAAGCCTGCTCTCTTTCCTCCTGAGGTCCCAGGGTATGTCACCTTGGGAGAGGTGAAAATAGGCTTTTGCTTGGAAGAAAAGGCAGTGCCATTTAGAGTAGCAGCAGTGAGTCACAGGTTGGTAAGAAAAGACCAACCTGTTCTGCCACAAGCCTCTGCCAGCGTCCGTAGAGTCCTCTGAAGTCACTTTCAAGGTCAACTGCGGCTAGGCAAACTCTCTGCCAGCCACACAGCCTTGGCGGGCCTTGTGCCCTGGGTCCCTGCCCACTCGGTCCCCAGTTTTCCGAGGCAGGCAGGGGAGCTCTCTTATAGCAGGACCTGAGGGGCGGAGGTGGAGGCTGCACCCCCGCAGGTGCTGGTCCCTGAGCCGTGAGGCTCACTCTGGAGTTGCATCTGGGCCACAAGCATTGTTTCTGAGAACCGACCACTTGGCCACTCTTGGCCTATTGAGAGGAGGTGGGCAGTTCTTGAACTGAGTGCTGGGCATGATCCTGCTTATGCCTTTGAACGCAGAGACCCTGTGCCCTCTCTCGGAGACTTGGGGTGCTCCAGAGAGTCTCAGCTCCTGGCTCTCCTCTTCTTACTCTTGTCCTAGTCTGGTCACACATAGGACATTTCTGTTTTGGTTCCTTGCACAGTGGTTGGAGGAAAGGCCAGATGTGCTTTCTTCGGGTGCTCCAGCCGTTTCAGGGTGCTTGATGATGGAATGCAGGGTGCTAGCCTGGGCTCCGGTCCCGTCACCCCTTGCACAGAATCCACGGACATACTGAATGAGGCAAGAACAGTGGCTCAGGCCCTGTGATCCCAGGGTGCGTGGGCTCAGGCCCCTGCTGTGCCTCCCCTGCTGCAGTCCTGGGTGTGGGACCAAGGCTTCTCTCTTGGGGACTGTCCTGGGTCACCTAGGCTTCTGAGCAGGAACAGTGCAGTGCTCGGAGGCCCGCAGCTGGTGCCTGCTTCCTCTCCCCCTTGCTCTGCAGGTGCCCCAGGGGCCTCATTACCCAGCCTGCCAGCTCACTGGGTCATCACCCAGCATTGTCAGGAGGCACCATCATGGAACGGAACCCCACAAGGCAGGTTTTCAGGCTGAACATGAAAAGGAGACCATTGTGGAGGGCGGAAAGTTGAGTGGCAATTAGCGAAGTGTTCTTCCGGGATGAAATGGGGCAGGTCTCACAGGGTGGGGGGCTCCTCAGGGGCAAGTCAGCTCACAGACACAGGCCCAGGCCATTTGTCACTCAGAGTCACAGGTACAAAGGGTTGGCCCAGCTCGGGTTTCGGATCGAGGGGCCAAATGCTGCTGAGTCTGTGCTTCAGGCTTCGCCAGTCTCTGAAGCTGGGAGGATGCTGGCACTGTGATTCTTTTCCAAGTGCTAAAGGCCAGGCCGTGCAGATGAAAAGGAAGGCCTGGGGTGTCTGCTTTAAGCTGTATCTTTTTAAACAAGCGTAAACTTTTTAGATTACTACTATCTGGTTATTTCTGAGGATAGGGACTGCGAGTTATTAGCCATGAATTCCTACAGCCTGCTTTGGATGGGTCAGGGTTAAATGGATGAGGATGGAAAAAGCCACAGGCAACAAACCTGCTTTTCTTTCCTTTTTTTGTCTTTTTGAGACAAGGTCTTACTATGTTGTTCAGGCCAGCTTGAGCTCACTATGTAGAGTGGAAGGTTGGCCTCGAACTTGCAGTGGTCCTCCTGTCTCAGCCTTCTGAGTTCTGGGATTACAAGAACTTTGTAAATGTGCTTCTAATCTAGTCCACCAGACTATTAGAAAAGTTTCTGTTCTTGTTATCGGCCACTTAATGTTTCCACTGCTTGCTTCTTCCTATGTATTTAGCAGCTGGTTCAGTTTTATAGATAGCTGAAGATTTAAGGGTATCGTCTGTTCTTGCTATTCTTGTAGGTACGCCCCCCCCCCCTCCACTGTAAAGAGTTCTTCAAAAATTTGGGATTCTTGGGGTCTAAGTAGAAGTTGCCCTATTTTCTTCTGGTGTACCCAAGAAACCAGCTACATCTTTAGGTCACTTTATTTCTAAAGGCCTCTAGAGAAATCAAGACCTGGAGTTTTATCGGTGCTTCTAGGTTTGTTAGTTTATGTATTTTTGTAGTAGGGTTTTGTTCTGTGATCCACACCAAAAATCTTCACAATTAACTTCAAACACTGTGTGTCCTTTCATATTCGTAAGGTGAATCGTATTTTTAACAGTTCGGATCTGAAATGATTCCCCAGAGCCGCCTGCGTTTGGAAGGTGGCTGGATTATGGCAGCAGGGTGGCTGGCTGGCTGTTAGGAGGAGTCGTGGTCAGAGACCTGGAAGTGTCTCCCCATCCATCCCTCTCTCTCTCCGTTACCTGGCCCCCGTGAGGAAACCTTCGCTCTGCTCCTCTGCCTTGCTGTCCTGCCTCGGAGCCAGCTGCCTCTGGATTAAAACTGTGAGCTGAGCAACCCTCTTCTACTTTCGTCAGGTATTGTGTCCCAGAGAGGGGAAAGTGGCTGAGACAATATGCAGATGGAAGGCGTCTTCCCGTGCACCTCTGTGCCCTGTGAAGCAGCCTTGGAGTGCCCAGCACGCTGGGGGGCCTCAGGCTGTGGGTCCTGCACAGTGTGGATGGAAGGTGAGCTCTGCCTGTGCCTGTGGGCAGTGCCCAGGGGCTGCTGACCCTAGTGTTTTGTTCATTTGGCAGGGTATGGAACCAAGACGGGAACACATGGTCTAAACATGGAGGTGGTGCCAAAACAGGGTCTTTAGGCTATGCACTTTGCACATCCCTCTTGCCACAACCTCAGACCATGTGGCACCGTGTTCCTCAGGCCAGCTGGTCTTACCTGTCTGTGGGTGGAAGCAGTTGTCAGGTGGAGCATGGGAAGTCCCCAAGCACAGGAGACCGGCCAGTAGTTGGCTGCGCGTTCCTGAGACTTTCCCTGCTGCTCCGCCCTGGGGACCCAGGCAGCTTCTCCTGCCCCAGCTTGGCTTGGCTATGGCTCATCCAAAGGCTGATGATGGCGATTGTTTGTAAAGATGTTTTTGAAAATGGAATTCACGAACACCATGTAATTCACCCATTCCACGCGCACGGTTCAGTGGCTCTATGTGTATTCAGAGTTGCACAACCATCACCACAGCCGGTCGTAGAGCGTTTTCGTCATCCCATAAGGAAACCCAGCTCGCCTTAGCTGGCGTCCCTACCTCCCCCACCACCAGTCCTGAGCAGGCACTGGCTCTCTGTCTCCATGTGTCACTCAGCAGAGTCACCAGCAGCCTGGGTCCCACATCCCCTGTAGCCTGGTGTCCCAGGGACCAGCCACGTTTGGAGCGCACGTTGGTCTTCCGCTGGGCTTTTCTGTTGTTATTTTTGTGTTGGGCTTCGAATCCCTATCACTGAGCTCTACCCTCAGCTCCTTTACCCTTTTTGTTTTGAAATATTTTCATTGTCCTGGATGCACTGCACTGGTGTATCTGTTTATCACCCAGTGGACACTCGGGTTTTTGTACTCTTTAGTACGAATACTGCTGTGTTAACAGTTGTGTACAGGTTCTTGTGTAGACGCATTCCTTGAACTCCGGTTCATGAGAGCTGCTGAGCTCTTCCCAAGGTGCTGCTCGTTCTGCCTTCTCCCCAGCAGTACTCGGGGTTCTGGTCTTTCCGCCCTTGCTGTGTATCATTTCAGGCATCTCAGTAGCTACGGGATGGCGTCTCATTCCGTTTTCACTGCCCTTCCTTGTTGGCTGTTAGTATGGCGCCCTTTCCTTGGGGACCATCTGTGCATCTTACTTGGAGAACTAGCTAGACAGCCTTTGGCTCCTTTGAAAATTGCCTCATTAAAAAAAAAAACTACTGAGTTAAAAGTACTGTATATAGTCTGGATAAAAATCCTTCATCAAATATAATTTGCAAAAGCATCCTTGGTGTTATCTTTTCATTTTCTTGATGATGTTCTTTGAAGAGCAAAAGTTCTGACTTGTGAAGTCCAGTTTATCCATTTTCTGTCTTGCTGCTTGTGCTTTCGGTGCCAAATGTAAGAAACTGTCGCCTGACCCGACACAGTGGGGATTCCATGCCTGTTTCTTTCTAAGAGTTTGCAGTTTAGCTCCTATAGTTCAGAGCTTAGGGTGCCCCCAGCTGTATTTGAAACTGTTTACGAAAGCAAACTGTTCCTTAGCCCACGTGTTCCTGCTCTGTAGTTTTTGGACACGGGTCAGTGACAGACCCTGGAGCTCCATCCACAGCTGTCCACAGGGTCACCCACCCCACAGCTCACGGCATCGGGTCTCCCATGGCCTCCCTTGGCACTCGCCACCTACATGTGCATCTTGCTGGGTTGGTCTCTGACTCTGCCGAGCTCCAGGCAGCAGGGCCACGTCTGTCCTTTCACTTTGCCCTCAGTATGCAGTGCACAACGTGGGAGGGTGACTGCCCCAGGGTCTCTGGTCTGGCACCAGGTGGTGGGAGTGACCTAACCCAGGAGTATGTGTCCTGTGGGGTGGGCAGTGTGCCCTTCTACAGACCCGGTGAGGCCTTCAAGCACAGTCTACCTCTGGTGACACAGAGGTCCTATTTTGGGCAGTGGCCACATATACTGTCACAAAGAAAGGGGAAGGTGTTTCCTGGTTTCAGGATTGCATGGCACGCCAGCCAGTAAGTGGGCGTGGCAGGAGGAAGTGGGCCATGCAGACCCCACTGGCCTCTGAGTTCCCGGTTTGGGCCTTAATAGCCGTGGTTATACAAGAACATTTGTCTAGGGCAAGGGTCTGCCTGCGCCAACCCAAGTGAAGCACTGATGCTTGCTTGGTCATTGGTGGGCACTCTCGCCCTCACCACGTCCTCTGTGTGCACGTCAAGTGCAGTGGCCCTGGCAATGAGGGTGACCCGTCCTGAGCTGCTGCAGCTCTCCTTCCTGGTTCAGGCTCCCGTGGGAGAGGGCACAGGCACAGTGGAGCCTCGGTGGCCCTTGGCCTGCCAAGTTACCCCCTCCGCTGACCTCAAAGCCTGGAGCAAAGCAGTGTTTCAGGCCCTCTGCTCTCAGATAGCGCTCGGGTCATGGCCCTGTGGGAGTGAGGAGCAGCCGGGGAGAGTGGACTGTGAAATCAGCGCAGAGATGCCCGTGGGCCTGGTGGGAGCGGCGGCAGATGTGCCCTGGCCTTCCTCACGGGGACCCCCGGGTGGACGCACCCAGCTGCGGGGGCCTGGGAATGGCATCTGCCCGTGGCCACTCCACCCCGCTGTCCCGCTTCACAGCAGGAAACTTAACTTTAAAGCTGAGTAAACCAAATTTAAGGACACAAATTGAGAAAGCAGGGTTGTTTATTGCAGTGCAGCCTCACTGACTTCCCAAAGCCATGCGGCCTCGTCTTTCTGTTTACAGATACAAATGGAACCCTAAATGAGGTTTACTGGGCTCCCCAGACAGTGTTCCCGGGACAGAGTTTTTCCCCTCAGCAGTAAACTTCAAAATCAAAAGAACTGGAAAGAAAGGGGATGCTTCCTGTCATAAATAGGGTGGGTGGCGTTCTTTAGAGCATTTTATAGGTTCCAACTGTGCATTATAATTTCAGCGTACCCAAGAGCATTCCAGGCTTGCAGAAGGGCCACAACCTTCGGGAAGCACACGCCCAGCGCTCACCATGTGCTGTGTGCTGCTCCCCGGCCTACATGACAGCAGAGATGACACTTCAGTGACTGTCGGTGCCATTTGGGATCATGGGCAGCAGCAGATGCCATGCCACCAGTCAGCAGCCAGGACAAGGCAGGCCACTGAAGCAGGCTACATTTGGCGGGGCCATGGCCGTGCCATCTAGTGTCGAAACAGCCGTCTCTTCCCTGCGGCCAGGCCGCAGCCCTCCTGGTACAAGGCCGGACCCTGAGGATGACCTTTGCTTCCTGGAGGCATCAGGAAATCAATTTGAAGATTTAAATTGGTCTTTATGCACTGGGGTTCCTGGTGAGACTTCATGAGAAGGACTGTACTATAGGAAGGTTTGAAGACCACTTTAGAAAGTCTCGGGGCTGGAGATTTAGCTCAGCGGCATAAGCGCCTGCCTTGCAAGCAGGCAGTCATGAGTTCTATCCCCGGTACCGATAAAAAGGAAAAAGACAAAAAAAAAAAAAGAAAGTCTCTAAGGCACTAAGTAAGTTAGATGTGGTGGTTCAGGCCTGTAATCACAGCAGCCTGAGGAGGCTGAGGCAGGAGGACCACGATTTCAAGACCAGCCTGGGCAACTTTCTGATCTCAGCCCAGGTCGGTGCAGCCCAGGTGCAGCCCTGCCTGTCTTTGTAAGTAATGTTTATCCAAAGACTCGCTTTCCTCTCTGCTGTCTAGGGCCTAAGGGCCCTTATTAGAAAAAATTGTTCACTGCTGTTGCGGAGTTTAATGGCTCCTGGTTCCAGCACATGGATCCGTCTTGGGTTGAGCAAAGGTGGGGTACGGGCTTTTGTTTTGTCGCTTTTCTGTTTCCAGAGGAAATGGGCGCAAGGGAGGAACGTATCCTGACAAAGGTTGTTCTTTGCAGGGTGCCTGCCGGGCTATGACTGTGTCTGGACTCAGTCTGGCTTAGGGCTGTAGACAGCCTCTAGCGAGGCAGCACTGTGGATACCCCTGCTGGAGATCAGAGGGCAGCTCCTGTTTTAGGGTCTCCAGCCACGAGGCCTTGGTGGGGGTGGTAATGACTATCAGCTGGGCCAATGCAGGGAGCCTGGCACAACAAATGATTAGTGAAGTTTCCACCCTGCCCAAGGCCTCGGCCTGCCCCTCCTGTGCCAGGAACCTCAGGCTCAGCCCAGGTGCCGCCTCACTAGGTGATTCCCAGCCTCCCTTGCACCCCTTGGAGCCTCCTGACCATGGCACAGTCACAGCCCCTGCTTGTCTCATTGACACTGCCTGTCACCTCACTGGGTACCAGACATCTCCTTGGAGTTCGTATGGATCAGTGAGTAATAGGGCACCAAAGTAAAAGAGCAAGCCAGAGCAGAGCTGAGGCCATGGGCACTTCCTGTGTGTCCAGCCCGGGGGCAGCCCAGAGTGCAGGTCCTGGAGAGCCAGAGCTGGTGGGCTTTCACCATGCAGGCCAAGCTGGACCCATGGTCAGAAAATGTGTTTAGTAGGTTGGCAGCTGGCACTTTGAAAACAAGGAAGACAAAACTAGGGCGTTGCAGATAGTGAGGGAAATAACCCTTAGCTTGCAGAGTTTGCACCCACGTGTGTACTTAGACCTGGGCATGGAAACACACACTGCTAAGCATGCGTGTGATGGTACTGGACACCCCTCTGTTCCCGTGCCATTCCTGTCTCATCACTGGCAGCCACAAGTGTGCTTGGAATTAAGATGCTGCTGGGCTTGAAGCCAGAGCCAGGGTGTGCTTCATGCAGAAGTCTTTTCACCCTTGCCTGTTGCATGCTGAGGTCTGCTGGCCAGCCCCTGGTGGGTGACCGGGATTACTTGAGGGTGAGATGTGGGTCCACAGGGATGGCTTCTGCTGCCCGCTCTTCACCTTTTCCAGCCCAGAGCCCAAGGCCCTCCTGTCTGCATCTGCCCCAGAGAAATCCTGGGTGTTGAACACTGCCGCAGAGCACCTGGCAGGCCTTGCGCAGGCTCTGAACACTGCAGGCATGCTCAGTCCCTTTCCAGTGGTGTAAGTAGCACCGTGCACTGAAGGAAAGCAGCCACCCACGTCCTGAAGGGAATCTTCGAGAAGGCAGATTTCAGGTTGATTTTGCTGTTTGAAGTATTCCATGGTGGACGCTTGCCTGTCATAATGGTGTAGGTAGCATCCCGAGCCAGATTCGTGCGCACCACGGAGCCCCCTAGACCCTGGCCATGTCACTGGGACATGGCAACCCGAAGCAGCATCTGGCAGGTCCAGGGGCCCCGGGGTGCAGCAAGGAGCAGCTGCTGCCCAAGTGGCCCCGTTCTCCGTGCGGGAGTGAGCAGCTCTGCCTCTGCTCACTTCTCAGGGCCCCGTGGGTTGTGCTTGGGCTTCCTCCCTCGCTCCTAGCTTGCCACCCTTGCACCCCTTCTGCTGCATCATAGATCATCCTGACCACGGGGGTGACTGCTGCTCTAGACATCCTGCAGATTCCTAGCGTAAGTTTGGTGTGACTCGATGCATTTTGATTACTGTTACTATGATTTCCAGTGACAGTTGAAGTCCAGTGACACTCGGTTAAAATGTGCGGGGTGGCCCAGTTGTGTATACCCAGGGAGTATGAAGACTAAAGGAACAATTCGGACAATTCACAGGCAGAAAAAATAATTCAGCAGCCACACCAAACAAACTCTACAAGATTAACACACTGTAGGAAATGTTATTTAATCAAGCTGATTTCCTTATATTCAAAAACATCCAACAAGTTAACTAGAAAAAAATTTCAAAATAGAGAAAAGCCTGAAAGGACACGTTCAGTTAATGAGCAGTGTGGTGCGAGGTTCTGCCTCACTCAAGAGAAAATGTTGCAGCTGCCCTGAAGTGTCATCTGCCACTGCCACTGCCGGTGGGCCCCTGTCCAGAGCTCCACGCTCCCCCGGACCTCCGTGCCCATGGTAGTGACCGTGTCCCCTGTTCCTGGCCCTTTCTTCCAGAGATGGTCAGAGAACGAGCCTGGTCCTGGTGCAGGGACAGGACTCAGGAGCGCGCTGACTGCTGCACTGTCCACACTGAGAATGGAGCTTGGCGAGTGCGAGCCGCTTCCATAGGCACCGTGGTCAGTGGGGGTCTGCCTGCGGCAGTGGTGGTTGCAAGGGTTAGGACTCTGTCGCCACTCTTGGGAACGGGGAGTTGAGACATCATTCCCTGTCCGGCTGGGGTTGAGAGCTTGTGCACCTGCCCTCATGTATGTCCTTAGTGAAGCAGGGACAGTGGCTGCCCTCACAGGAGGGTTGGGGTGGGAGGTCACCTCGCTACAGCACTGTGTGTGTGAATGTAGGAGAGGACTGCAGCGTGAAGAGGGATACAGGAGTGGACCTGGGGCTTGGAGTCGTGGGCCTATCAGTTGGCCTCAGGCTGACTGGGCGGTCCCCTCCCCTCCCCGCCCTGCTGACTCCCAGGCTCTGTGGTCTCCCCTGGGAGTCTGCGATCTGGAAAAGCCACACCCTTCGTCACACCCTTCACGGTGATCGGTGATCGGAGTGGCATTGTGGCTCCTGTCGGGGGAAGGAGGAGAAGAAGGGGTAGAGTGGGAAGAGGGTGCTGTGTGGGACAGCTCCCGGAGTCCTCAGCAGCAGGTGTCTGGAGCTGCTGCCCTGGGCACTTCCAGCCTGGCTTCCCCTCCTGGCTTGTGGAGTAGGTGGCGACCTCTAGCATTCTGTGTCCACGTAGCATGGCTGCAAAGGGGCAACCCAGGGACGTGGCCTTTGTACCCCAGAAGTAAACTCCCACTCCTGCAGATGAGGACGAGCTATCCCCAACGTGGCGGAGTGGGATTTGTGGCAGGAAAAGACCCACTGTGGAATGCCAATGCCACATACTGTCACAGATGTATGCCATGTCCCTGTGTTTATTTTGAATCCAGCTGACTGTTTTAAACAAGTCAAGGTGACCACTGTCCCCATTAATTAACTTAAAATAAGGAGCAACAAATGCCAGACATCATGGCACCAGCTGTGCCCCAGCTACTTTGGAGACTGAGACGGGAGGATCACTTGAACCCAGGAGTTTGAGGCTACCCATGGCACACAGTGGTGCCCCTTCTTCAGATACTGGCCAAGCAAGTGCAGCAGTGTGGAACAGAGAGCTTTCTTCCCGGGGACCTGCTTCCGAGCATGGTGAGGCTCGGGCTGCCCGTCGGTGGGGCTTCCCTTTTGTGCCATGTGGTCCAGCACGGTCCGAGCAGCGAGGCGGTGAGAGTCACATGCTCATCTGCTCTGGAAGTAGTGCTGGGAGTAGCTGAGACAGACGCCTTCCAGGCCTGGGTGGTGACAGGCGGCTGTGTAAGATGCTGACCCTTGACGGGGTGGAGGAGGGAATGAGGGTTTTGTTACTCAGAGAAATGTGAAGTAAAAAGCCAGGCACTAGCGGGAACTGCCCTGTTCCTTGCAGCATCTTGGTGATGTCCGTTACACATCCTGTCCTGACGCACCGCAGTGTGGTCTGCGCTCAGGTGAAAGGCTTCTTGTTGCCTGCTACCCTTGGAGGCGCCTGGTGGGCGTAGCCCTGTCCTTCCTGGTGCTGTTTCCCGGCAGGGGTCTGAAGACTGGGTCTCTTATTAGTCCCAACAGTCCTCTACCTCTGATGGTGGAAGCGGAAATGCTGGCCTCATGGTGGTCAGAGTTGCTTTCATGTGGCCGTTGCCTGGGCCTTCATCCCAGCATGGCCTGGCTGCCCCGCCTGCCTGTCCTCTGAGGTGGGCCCGGGTTTAGGCTTTGTTTCTGTGTGTAAATAAGATGAGGGAAAGCGCAGAAGGAAGGACACAGGCAGAAGCCTTCATTCTCAGAATCTAATGGTTCCCTGGTTCCCTGCCCTGGCATATCATAAGGGGACAGCAGGCTGCAGCATGGGCAGGCCGAGGGAGAGCCTGAAAGCTGACCGCCTTTCCCCGTCGCACACCGACGAGGTGGCTGTGTCCTGAGCCAGCAGCAGGGGTCAGGGAGCCAGCCATGCCCTCTGCCTGTCCCTCCAGGCTGTGGCGGCTCTGGGTTCCGGGGGTGGCTGGGCAGGGGAGGCGTCAGTGGGCGCAAGGTTCCTCCTGCCTGCACGTGGCTGAGTGAACCTGAGCCTTGGACGGCACACGGCGCCGCTCCAGTGGCATCCTGCAGCCGGGAGCTCTGCTCACCCATTCTCTCTACGGCGGAGTCTCGGGGGCTGCTCTTCCGTTGTATGATCTGTTGTTGGATGTGTGGTTGAGTGAGCATGGGAGGATGCACAGCTGGGACTAGCGTCCTCTTGCCATGGTGTCCAAGGCTGTGGGCTCCTTGTCCTGAATCTCTTGAGACTCCCTCAGGGCTGCGCTAGTGATCCACACCGCCCTTCCCAGGCTCCTGGCCTGCTTCCCCAGGGAAAGGTTCTTTGCAAAGATTATTTCATTCATTCATTCGTAAGTATTCACACTGAATCTACTTACAACAGATTGGAGGAAAAAATCCAAGCAGGTAGGTAGATAGTGATACAGTTCGCAAGGGCCTTAGCCAAAATGTTGAAATTGCCTCCATTTTCTTCTTTTTGATTGCTGCAAATGGGTCACTACAAAGCATCTCCCTCTTCGAAGGCTGTAAAAACAGGGCGTGTGTGGGAGGCTTTTAAAAATCGTGCCCCCCCCCCCCCGGTGTGTGCCAGGTTGAAGCTGTATTGGAGTAGGGGTAGCAGGCTGCTTGCTGGGTGGAAATGAGAGCCTGGCACGGGTGTGAGCCAGAGTCCCTCAGTTTCTTTGTGAACAGGCCTGCAGCATGAGATGCCTGGCTTTGCCTGCAGGGGGCGCCCTTGTCCCTGGTGACTGCCTCCCGAAGGACACCCACACTGTCTAGATTTGGAGAAAGGGTAGGGCTTTTAGCAAATCCAGGCAGGTACACCTCAGTCAGATGCATCATTTATTTAAGTTTTTGAGAGCACCTCACTGTGTAGCGAAGGCTAGGATCAAACTTATGATTCTCCTCCTGTAGCCTCCAGGGTGCTGGGATTGATGACAGGTGTGTGCCACTGCCCCGGCCCACTCTCCGGACTGGGAATTGAACTCAGGATTTTATGCATACGTCACTGTATCCCCAGCCTTTTTTCTGTTTGCTGAGATAAATTCTTGTTAAGTTGCCTAGGCTGGGCTTGAACTTGAAATCCTCCTGTGTCAGCTTGTGAGTGGCATCACAGGCTTGTGGCTTCTACTTGTAGCTCGTGTGCTTCTGGTACATTGTGCTCGAGGGCATCCATGCAGCAGGAGTGGGAGCTGCCAGGTCGACCGAATCCTGCACCAGCTTCTTGCCCAAACCGTCAGCGGGCGCATTGGCTCCTTTGGAGATCAGAGAGCAGCATCTTCCCCTTCTGCTTTTATTGTTATAATCAGCCTCGTTGGATCAGCCACCACTATTACCAGAAATGAAATGGTCAGAGTGGTGACAGGAGCCTCTGGGACAGTGCCCTGTGGGAAATGAGGCTACTGGGAGCCCAGCCTGGGACATGGCCCTTGTTCCCAGCCCAGTCTTGCATCTCAGCACATCCCTGGTGGCGTCTGAAATGCTGAAGCACTGCTGAAATGCCTCTTTTCCCCGAGAGGGTTGACTGCGAACCCGCCTCACTAGGGACTTGTTCTCTTTTAAAAAGAAGCCAAACAGAAATGTACAGTGAAGCGTGTCAGAGACCAACTGTGGGCCGTGTGGCTGCAGAGGCCTCTCTCTTAGGCTCACGCTGTGGGATCTGGTGGCCCAGTGCTTACCACTCTCTCCCTTCTCCCCAAGGTGCGCCACCGGTGGTGTGAGCTCATTGTCAAGCACAAGTACACGCGCGGGTACGGACACGTGGAGCGGTTTCTTTGGGAGGACCAGGTGAGGACACTTTAGTGCTGGCCCCTGCCTGTCCCTGTTGGTGCCCTTCCCAGAGAGACCCGGGTCCTTGGCATCTCTCTGAGAACATTGTAGCTTCCCAAGAGGTTCCCTCAGGCACCTCTTCGGCACTGTTGCTCTTCAGAGTGGATGTCCCTACCCTCTATGCCTGTGCAGGGGTGAGTAGTTCCACACTGCAGATGCACCCGTGGGCTTGCTGCCCGTGGACTGCTGGCCCATTGGCCGAGTCCCCCATGGAGCTCTCCAGAGCCTCTCGGGCCAAGGCCAGGGTACAGGTGCCATCCCCAGGGCTTGCTGTAAGCACGAGTGCAGAGGCCAGACCAGAGTCTGCCAAGCCCTGAGCTCCGTCCCCTTCCTGCATGAACTTCCTTCCCAGAAGTGGCTGCTTGACCTGGAGCCCACTGGAAGTGTGTGTTAGCAGCATTTGGGGATGTGCTTGTTCTTCACAGCGGGTCTCCGCTCAGGGTGCCCTCTGTGACATGCAGTACCCCGTCACCCCCGCACACTTTGCCACCAGCGTGTGCCTTGGAAGGAGCTGCCTGCCAAGGCTGTGGGCTGCCGGAATGGAGCGGAGCTTGGTGGGGGTGGAGGAAGGGGGCAGGGACAAACAAAAGGACCTTTGACAGCATCCCAGGCAGGGGGCAACCAGTGAGTAGGGCTAGTTATTCCCACAGAGAAAAGTGCATGACTTTGCAGCCGCAGAAATGTCACATTTGCACAGTGGAGTCAGAGGAGGCTGAGTAGCGGACAGGAGCGCAGGAGAGCTGGGCTCGGTGACCCAAGTATGCCTAGCGCCTCGCTCTTCACTATGTGAGGCTCACTGGTCTGAACTTTGTCAGGGAGGCGCTTTGGGGTCCC